GTCTCGAAAAATTGAAATCCTACAGAGTATGTTCTCTAAGCAAAAAAAAAAAAAAAAAAAAAAATTAAATTAAATTAAACGCAATCAATGAAAATAGTATTTTAAAAAATAACTCCAGAGAGTTAAAAATTAACTACACTTCTAAAAACCATGGATTAAAGAAGAATTCACAAAAAAATATTTTAAACTAAATGAAAACTAAAATGTAGCAAAATTCGTGGGCTGTAGCTGAAACCAGGATCACAGAGTATTTACAGCCTTAAACAAAAGGTTTGGAAAAGAAGGCTTGAAATTGATGATCTAAACTCAAAGTGAGTAAAACGAAGAAAATAATAAAGATCAGAGAAGAAAAACAGGAGTGAAATATCAACAAAGTGAAAAGTTATTTTTGTGAAAAAATGAATACACTTGACAACCCCCTAGCAAATCTGATTGAGGGGGGAAAAAAGAGAGAAAATACAAAATTAAAACACCAGGAACAAAATGCACTTTCACTACAGTTCCTACAGACATTGAAAGAATACTATAAACAACTTTACGCCAATAAGTTCAACAATTTATTGGGTTGTCGGAAAAGTCATGATGCATTTTTGCAATGAAAAACATAGAAAAGATATGTCATGATTTCTCCAACAACCCAACAGGCGAAATGGACAGATTCCTTAAAAGACACAAATTACCAAAACTGATACAAAAAGAAATGAAAAAATCTGAATAGCCTGATATATGATGAAGAAATTAAGTCGTATGAAGCATTTTCTATTAAGATAAAATGCCAGGCCCAAATGGTTTCATTGCCAAATTCAAACATTTAAGAAAGAAATTACACCAATCTGACTCTTTCTTCTTTTGGTGCACAGAGGAGGGAACACCTCCCAGTTTACTTCACGACTCCCACGCGTCCCTGAATCCAAAACCCAGCAAGAAAACTACAGAGCAATGTCCCTTAGGGGCACAGACACAGAAACACACAACAAAAGATGCGCAGCAAACACAGTGACATACAAAAATAGGATGCCACAGCTAAAGATATGTACAAAGTAACACATCCCAACTCTCAGAAACTCAAGCCGATTTAACATCCGCCTCCCCCCCCCCAAAAAAATGTAATTTACTGCATTCACAGGAGAGGGGAAAGCAGAAAAACTAACTGTATGATCATCTCAACAGATGCGGAAAAAGCACTTGACAGAATTCAACACCCTATGATGAGGCGAATTCTCAGCCAATTGGGAAGAGAACTCCCTTAAATTAGGAAGAGGACTATATTAAAAACGCCTCCAAATCGGTAATAAAAAGACAAATACCCTCCAAAGTAGGGAAAAGTCTTCAACGCTTTACTAGAAATAATACACGGTATAACATATAATAAAGGAATGTAATATGATTAAGGATGTAAGTATACATGAAAGGTGTTCAACTCAGTTATCAGGAAATGAAAATAAATCCACAATGAGAAACCATGACACACCCACGGCAATAGCAAAAATCAGATCGACTGGCCACAGGTGCTGCCGAGGATATGGGGTGACCAGAACCTTCCCGCACCACTGGTGAGGATGAGGGGTGCAGCCCTTCTGGGAAACCATGGCCGCTTCTGACACGGCTGAGCCGACGTCTACCTTTTGGCCCAGCAATGGCTCTCGTAGTTGTCTTATCTAATAGAGACACGAAAACGTGTATGTCCATAAAAAGACTTGAGAACCTTCACAGCAGCTTTGTTCGTAAGAGCAAAGCCTCGACAGCCCAAGCGGCTAACAAGAGGGTGAATAAGTAATTACTGAGTTATTTATGAAATATTCATATCATCAAGTATTCCTCAGCGGTAAAAATAAGAAGCGATTAACACACACAGGGATCCCGGGCAACGTCAAAAGCACTCTGCTGGGCGAAAGGCGTGGGATGAAGGGGGCCCCTCTCGTGGGCTGTGCAGCTCTGTTCAAATGGGCACGAAATGGGTCTGCAGTGGCAGAACTCAGCAGTGGCTTTAGGGGCCTGGGGATGGACAGCAGGAGGGCACCAGGTCGCACTGTGGGGAGATGGGCATTCGTGTGTCTTTTGTCAAAACTCATTGCATCGCACTTAGGATGTACATTTCACTGCCCCTCGACACAAAAACGTTCTTCAAAAAATAAATGCAAAAAAATAATAAAAAATAAATAAATGCAACGGGAACTTCCCGGGGGAATCAAGTCACAGGGTTCTGCTGAGAACCAAAGGGCTGATTCGTTTAAAATCTTGTTTGTGCACAAAGATCACTCACATAAACCAATCGATAAAGACGGAAACAATACCTGTTAACTCTCCTCGGGCATTTCTCCGGCTTGATATCCAATTCATAGTGATAGATGTCAATTTTTGGAATGTCCATTTCAAAGAAGTTGGCCTGTAACTTGATTGTTCTCCCAGAGGTCCCGAAGTCGGGTCTCGGTGGAGGCTTGAAGGCATATCCTTGGATGGGGGGTGGCGGTGGTGCAGGGGGCGTGAGCACTGCAACAGCAAAGAGGTGGCGTTACACAGGGAAGGAACCGGCTCCACTGGGGGGGCTGGACGGAGTGGGGAGAGGCGATCTGGCCTCCTCCAGCGCCTGACCCACCCTTCCCAACTCCCTAGGACCCCGGGCCACCAGTGTTCCTCTGGTACTTCCTTTCTCTCCTCCTCCACGGAATTCACGCCCCACCCAGCTCTGGTTGACCATGTCACAGAGACCACCTAACTGCCAGGCTCAAGGGACACCCCCGGACACCCCCCACCATGTGCCCTCCTGTCTCACTCAGTGTCATGTGACGTGGTGCCCCGCCCTCCTCTTTCCAACTGTCCACTCTGCCCAGGTCCTTGGAATGTGGTATTTCCTCCCCGCCCCTTTCTTACTGAGGACTCACAGCCATTGTCTTCTGCACCCAGTTAGCCTCCGTCACAGAGCCCCCCACTGCCTAGCCGGTCCTCACTGTTTTCCCTGCTTTGCCCTCAGTCGTCCTTCCCTCCCCACCCGTCTGCCTCAGCGCGGGTCCCCACTTCCTCCTGTGCAGTGATTACAGAAGCCTCGCAGCGAGGTGGTCTCAGCTTCCTGGTACCCCCCACCCATTCTCCACACTACAGGCCCGAGTGTCTGAGCCCCGACCCCAATTCCTCCGTGGCTCCCGGCACCTGGCTCTGACATTTGGGCACACGCCAGTGTCCATAGCCTGGCCTCCGCCTCGTGTCCCCAAGCGCCCTGACCCCGCCCCCACCTGAGGCCCGGCCGCAAGGCAGTCCTGCTCGCACATGAGGGGAGCCATTAGTTCCTTGCGCCTCCAGCTCACTTCATCCACATCTCCACATAAACGTGACACCATCTGGCTGGCTGTCTCCCCAGCGGGACCACAAGCAGCCAGAGGGTCAAGGTGTGTGTGTGACCGCAGGTCTGAGGGCACCTGACCCACAGCAAGAGCCCGGGAACCTCTGCTCAACCCTCTCCGTTTACATTTGAGGCAGCTGACGGCCAGACGGGTAAGGGAAGGCATCGCCCAAGTCACTCAGCAAGTGTCCTCTGCGGGGGGCCACCCATGTCACAAAGGAAGATGTTTGAACAACCAGATCAAGAAAGCCAAAGGGCGGCCGGTTGGCTCGGTGGTTAGAGCACAGTGTTCACAACACCAAGGTTGCCGGTTCGATTCCCACATGGGCCAAGGAGCTGCACCCTCCACAACGAGATTAAAACAACTACTTGACTTGGAGCTGATGAGCCTTGGAAAAACACACTGTTCTCCAATAAAATTTCTAAAAAAAAGAAAGAAAGCCAAGCCTTCTGGACAGCAGTGCCCGAGCACACACCCCACCACATTCACCCCGAGCACTGTGTCCCACGTGTGTGCCCCACTTCCAGGGGCTTCCGACAGCTGTGCATGGGTCCACCGGGCACTCAAACGTCCACGGTTCTCTGTCCCTGGAAACCACAACGCAACACCCCTTCTCTGCCAAATGTGCACAAAGGTGGCGTCTCAGCAGCACGCCCAGTCTTTACCAGGACACATTCTAGTAACTTGATGGTCACCACACTTGCCATGTCCACTTCTGTTCTCTGCCTTTGCTCAAGGGAGATCGGGAAGATGAGGCCATGTGAATGACCAGCAAAGGGGATATGGGGATGAGGCCAAGTGTAATTAAAGGGACCCAAATCGTCAAGGTGGTGTCCCCTCTTTCATTACCATCTAAATCATTAATTTAATCAGGGGTGTCTCCCCCCCAATAAAGAGTAGAAAGAAACTTTATCCCAAATAAAATTTTTAGTAATTCCATTAGTACAATTAAAACTGAGGCTTTAGGAGGAAAAAAATTAAATATTTTTTCATTAACAGAATACTTTTAATTTTCGCTCAAATGTCTATGTTTAAAAAAAAATCCTCATTAAATAAAAATTCCATGTACTTCAATCCCTATTGACATTTGCTGGAAACAAAAGTACTAAAAATAATATAAGCTGTGCTTCTTACCTAGAAAAGCTCGAGAGTCATCGAGTTACTTGTTTTTTATTTTGTTTTCTTTCTATGAGAAAGCGAACATGCTTTCAAGGTTATTAATCTCACTGAGCTATGCCATCTGGAAACCTCCAGGCCTCTCTTCACTTAGTGAATATGGCTTCACAGATGACAAATTTATGGGCTTGCACAACACTCCGTCCCTTCCACAGACACGCTCGTGTGCCCTGTACACGCTCAGTCCAGGGACCAAGGAGACGAAAATACACAGCGTTCCCAAGCAGCTCACCTGTTGCTTCCCAGGAGAGTGACTGAGGGCAAGTCATCAAATGGATTAGGCGCATGTAGTTGCCGTAAGCTCAGCAGGTCACGTGTGATCCTTTGCACTCGGGACCCTGACTATGCCACGGAGTGGACAGCGCTGTCCAGCCCTGCCCGCTAGCTCCCTGAGGACGGATGTGGCCTCCCAATGCCTTGACCCGAGGGCCCTCTAACACACGGACCCTGTTCTCAGGTGGATGCCTCCTTTCCAGCAGGAGGAATCTGGTGAACATAGAAACAAAGCTAGACCATAGGAAGTTACATTTGTGTCCCTGGAAATGTCCAGCGCTGAGCCACAGGCACCTGGCCCCTACAGTCAGTGTCAGGAACGGGAGCCTTGCCCGCACAGAAGGGCTTCCCGGGTTACAAAGTGCGTGCGCATGTTTCTGGATTGCGCCTCACACAGCTACGGGGCAAAGCTGTCGCCTTTGAGAAGTGAGGCCGTCCACGTGGTTTGGTCAGACAGAGCAGACCACGGGCCCAGCTCCCTCCCGTGCCGTTGCCTGCCGCTGTCCCCGACCAGCTGCGGATGGCTTCTCCTTCCTTAAACCTGACCAAACGGCACAAGACTGGCCCAGGGCCTACTTTTCAGCTTGAGCCTGTTCTCCTGTTTCTTCCAACACCTATTACATATTCTACAGAATTTGCCCTGGAAAACGAGGAAAACTGTCCAGTTTCTTACTAACCTGCATTAACAAAAGCAATGCAAAAAGTGTAATGGTAACAGGTCCATAAGATACACAATTTTACAAGGTATTTCTTCCTTTCGTCTAGCTTTTAATAATGACAATACTGACAGGTTTGTGGGAAGGCATACGGGATGCAAACTCAGGAGTTAAAGGTGTAACGGATTCCAAGCAGAGGGCACAGGGAGAGGCCCCCGTTTTAGCAGTTGGGACTCTCCCGCTGAAGAACATGAAAACTGCGGGGCCTCAGTCCTCAGAGATCTTACTTAGTTCTATTTTTATAATTCACAGGAGTCCCAAGCGTAAAATGCCAGAGCAGGCAAGAGTCACAAACAAAACACTGGAGAGGATCAAGTGCATCGGGAGGGGCCGCCCACCGGAGCGCTGGCCCGGGGCCCCAACACGGTCATAACGCGACAGGGTGGAAAGCACTGCAAGAGGCCAGAGGAAGAGAGGGCACACGCACCTTCATCACGCCTTACACAGAAGGCCCTGAGAACTACAGCAGCCCCCCCGCCCCGGTACCCATGGGGGTGCGGTCCAAGACCCCCGGCAGATGCCTGAAACCCAGTAGAGTACTGAGTGTAGGTACACTCTGATTTTCACACACACACCCCTCTTCACTTAAAGGAAGCACTTTGTGCTTCTCTGTGGCATATCCAGTATCACTTCTCTTGTGCTCTGGGGCCACTAGGAGGTAAAATCAGGGTGACTGGGCCACAAGTGCTGTGACACCATGACAATCGATCTGCTAACCGAGGTGGCTACTAAGTGACTAAGTGGCAGGGAGCGGCCACAGCGTGGAGACTTGGACAGAGGGATGAGTCACGTCCCGGGCCGCATGCAGTGGGCTGGCACGGCATTTCATCAGGCAACTCAGAAACGGCATGCAACTCAAAATCCGCAAATTGTCTGTTTCTGGAATTTTCCATTGCATATCCTCAGACCTGGGTTTAGCCTGGGTAATGGTGGGGGGGAGACACGGACACGGCTACTGTGATTCCAGTATCACCTGAAGGTCCGCTCTCCAGGTGCTCTTTCCACAGCTCATTTCCCTTCACTGGTCCTGCGGGCTGAGGTGAGGCTGTGCCCACAGTCACGCCAGGGGGCGGCCATCAGGGGGGAGAGAGAGGAGAGGACTGGCTCCCAGTGAGCGCGCTGGCAGGGCGCGTGGTGGGAACGTTCCCCCAGAGCAGGAGCCCCCGGCCAACCTCCTTCACGGCGGGCTCCCAGCAGTGGGTGCCATCAACCCCTGTGGAATAAACGAAAGCCTGAGAGGAGGTGGCACCTGGGGAGCCTTCACCTAGGAGACACCACTGCCACCGAGCTGGCGTTGGATGAAGTGGCCGTGGCTCTGGCCGCTTGCTCAGCAGAGGCCTTGCCCCAAATCCCTACCCTGCACCAAAAACTCTGCCAGCAGCCCGCGCTGGGCCAGGAGCGTCTCCCCGCGTCCTTCCCATCCTCAAGTGGAAATGCAAGTTCTTCCTTCTTGTGACAAGGACCCCAACACCCCAGCCTGCATTCCCGGCCCTGACCACAGGCACAGGCACATTTCTTGTCTGGCATCGAATCCATTAGTTTTGTTTTTGAATGGATTTCCTGTTGCTTCTGTAAATGCGAGTACTGCCTCTGGGGGGTGGGGGTGCAAAACCCTTAGAAATGGGGAGCATTAGGCGGTCACAGCTTAGAGGGACCTCAGCTATGCTGAGGGGAGTTGATGCGTCCGGGCAGCTGTCAGCATGGCCCCCGGTGCTTTGGCAACACACCCATCAGCCCGTCCTGCCTGACTAGGCGAGTTCTGAGGCCAGGGTTCCTCAGCCCAAAAAGCCAGCCTGGTGTCAGGCCGAAGCAGCATGCTTGCCAGGCTGCTGGACCCTCGACACGTGTGTTAAAAAATCCCATTTTGGGCCGGTCAAGTGGCTCAGTTGTTTAAGAGCTCGCTCAAGAGAGTGAGCTCTAAGCAACAGCGGTTCAAGTCCTGGCCCGAGCTGAGCTGCCGTTGAGCTGCCAACAGGCGGCAGGATGGCTCAGCTAAA